AACTCCAAAGTCACCTCCCTAAATCTTCAAGTAAAATGGACCTTCCAGGATAATGCGCCATGTTTGGCCTGGGCTTCGGGCCTCCCCTGCGAGACCACTCCCTACCCCCCGAGATCAACGGACTCCAGCCTGAGAAGCATAACATCTGGTAAAACATCACCTGAAACTGCAAACTCCTTGATAGGATGCGATACTATCCACCCCCACCATGCGCATCTGTGGACCTCCTGAAGACTCTCTACAAAAATTAGTCCAAAACCAGTGAGCAAAATTCTTAGGATAAACAGCTTTTGTTAGCATGACTAAAAAATATAGGATATATTTCAGGAAAACCAAAGTTCCCAAGAGGCAGCATGTGAAGTACTCCCTAATGGAGATATATGAAGTAATGACCACACAGATTCTTCTCCTTAATTTCCAATGATACAATGTTAAAGCTTCACAACTTCTCACCCCCAGCCATGCAGCTCGGCCGTCATGTCACTGATCTGGGTTAAGTAGGAAAATATGAGTCTTAATTAATGGGATTCCTGAACTATAGAATTGGGGAAAGAGGTCTGGTGGATTTTATTCTGCTTTAATTGTATACAGTAAGCAGAATTAAGCTACAATGTGTTAACCAACAGAACAGCTGCAAAGGGCCTATAGAGAGTGACTGGATTGTATGCTGGGAATTTGTTTCTGAGGGTGATAGCAGGCATTTTTGTTTAACATCTAAAGTGGCAGTTTCTATTCACCCAGCCTGCCGAATTGTGTAATTCTTAGACCAGTCTTTAAATTGTGAGATAAACATTTCTCTAACTATTGTGTATAAATGAGACTTTATTGATACTTGATGTTTACCATTTCAAAGTCACACAAGTTAAGTCTGCATGAAGTGAGCACATTCTGTATATAAAGTCAATGCAAACGGCGACCCCCACCCCAGGTTCTTAATGAGTACGTTAATCTGCTTAATAACCCTCTCCTGCAGAGCTGGGTCAAAGGAAAACATGAATCTGCCTCCGTCAGCCCAGCCGCTGCTGCAGCTCACCGCTCACAGACAGGAGCCCGGAGGGTGACGGTGACCTTGGTGGCAAGCAGCCCCGGAGGAAGAGGGCCTCAGGGCCAGCAGGTGCGCTCAGGGCACACCCTCGCAGGCAGCACAAGCCTTCCTTCCCCGCACACACCGGGCGAACCCAGAGAACACAGGCAGCACCTCAGACAGATAATGGCACTCTCCAGGACAGAAAGAGCCCCCACGGAGAACCCCCGACTATCCCAGGCAGCCTGCACGGAGAGAGCACCACACCGGGCAGTGGGAGAGCGTCCACCGTCCGCGTAAGGGAGAGGGGACAGGAAAAGGAGCCATGTGTCGGAAGGGGAGCACACCTGTCTTCGAGGGAAAGAGAGGGTATCCCAGCCTTACATGAGACTAGACTGGCTTTCATTTCCTCTAAATGAAAAATAAAACTGTAAAAATAAAAAAATGTAAGAGGTAGGTGACAGAGCATGCACATGGCTAAAAGCAAATGATCGAGCTCACAGACTGCACTGGCAATATCTTCCAGAACCCAGAACCTAAAGACAGCGATTGAGACTGAATGGACTGTTACAATAGGTGAAGGACAACACCAGTGGTTCTGAAACTAGAAGTTCCAGAAAGAAAGAATGGCTATGCTGGAGGAAAGGAAATTAATTTTAAATTATCAAAATAATTATCAATGTGACAACCCTGAGCTTGACTATAAGACTTTTCAGATTGAAGTGACTGGAGGAGAGAGAAGAATACACACAAAAATAACGTACCTAGACTCACTGATATAAATGTCAGAAAGACAAGTAAAAAGAAAAACTCCCTAAAACATCCAGGAAGTGAAAACAGGCATTTCCTAAAACAGAAATGAGACACAGAGGGACAGTGTCATCTCTCAGTGGCACTGCATGCAAAGAGACCATGGGGCACTCTCTTCACAGAGGTCAGAGAAAGGACCTTGTAACCCAGAATTCTACACCCAAATTGCCATTTGACTGTGAAGGAAACAAAGGACTTCAGAAAACCCCAAATCTTGAATTCTCACTAAAAAAATCATTAGAGGATGATTAACTAAAAAGGGATCCAAGAACTAGACATGAGTATAAGAAACAGTGATGAGCAACAACAAAAAAAAAAAAAAAGAGGGAAGGATTTAAATAAATGCTGATAATAAAAACGATTAATAGTGACGCAGAATGAAACTCTCAGTTGATTTCAACATTTGAAGTGGTAGGGGAGCTGGAAAGACAAAATAAAAGTGTGCTAAGGTCCCTGAGACAAACAGAGAGACAGAGAAATTTCAGATAGTGAGAAAAGCACAAGTAAGTTTATATCTGAATTTACACTGTGCAGATGTGTTGAAATGCAATGCACACCTTGAGGGAAAATGGAAAGTACTAGCAGCAACAAAGAGCACAAACCAGCCAACAGCTCGAAGGGGAAAATGGGGAATGATAAATGGAAACATAAATCCAGACGGGAGGAACACCTCCGAACACCATGACGGCCATCACAATAAACATAAGCAGGTGAAAGTAGCCAGTTGAATTTGGCTAAAAAGGCAAAAGCCAGCTATATTTTATTTACCAAATCTATACTTAGAAACAAAACGTCCCAGGGCAGTTGAATTAAGAAATCACGAAAAATAAACCACATAAAGGCCAACAGAAAACAAACATCAGCCAAAACAGCTTCAGCGGAAAATGGGATACAAGGAGAAAAGTCTGGACAAAGAGGACTGTTTCCTGTTGATGGAAGATGTGACCCACGCGGACCACTGGGCAGCCTGGATAAAGACGCTCCTGCCGTCGCTTTTTACATCATGTCATTGTTGGGGTGGGCGTCTTTGTAAGTCAGTGAACAAAACAAACCCCCAGCCCTCATGAAGCCTTGATCTAGTGCCATGGTCGGCAAACTGCAGCTTGCGAGCCACATGCAGCTCTTTGGCCCCTTGAGTGTGGCTCTTCCTAAGCCTTAGGAGTACCCTAATTAAGTTAGTAACAATGTACCTACCTATATAGTTTAAGTTTAAAAATGTGGCTCTCAAAAGAAATTTCAGTCATTGTACTGTTGATATTTGGCTCTGTTGACTAATGAGTTTGCCGACCACTGATCTAGTGCAGTGGTTCTCAACCTTGGCTGCACATTAGAATCACCTGGGAATCTTTCTAAAATCCTGATTTCTGGGCCTCATCCTCCGGAAATTCTGTTTCTTTGTTACTAATGTTGTAGCCCTACCCCATAACAAAGAAACAAAATTTCCGGAGGATGAGGCCCAGAAATCAGGATTTTAAAAAGATTCCCAGGTGATTCTAATGTGCAGCCAAGGTTGAGAACCACTGTGGAAGGCAGACAGAAAACTAATGAGTAATCAAACTATTCCACGTTTCAGCGGGTGCCAAGTGCTGGAAAAAGAAAACAGGGAAGGGTGGCAGGGAGTGGTCTCAAATGGGGTGACAAGAGTCTCACTGAGAAGGGGACACATGAGCAGAGACCTCAAGGAGCTGAGGAGACAATCGTGCAGATTCTGGAGGAAGAACGCTCCCTGCAGAGGGCGCAGCGAGAGCTGAGGGTGACGTGGGCCGGGGCTGGGAGAGGTGGGCATCATGGGAGGAGAAACAGACATCCAGGAAACAGGCACTGCGGTCCCTCCCGGGGCGACTTTAGGAAGTTTCAAAATAAGATGCCTGAGATCAACCCCCTGAAAAAGGACATACCCTTACAGATGACGTAAAAAGGGAGACTTTGAGAAAAGTGTGACACCGTGTCTAGGAGACGGGAATTTAACCTAAAGGCCTGTTACCAGATTCCGACTCTGAGTAAAACAGCTTAGGCCTCCCCAATTGCATTTCACCCACGGCGCGGAAAGATTGTTAAAAGAGAAGTTTTGTTAACAGGTTTCGAGGACTGATGCACAGCATGGTGATGATGACTAATGACCCGGGGCCACAGACTTGAATGCAGTCGTGAGAGCAGATCGTAAATGTCCTCACCATAACGTAACTATGTGATGAGATGGAGGCCGTAGCTACTACTGTAGTGGTAATTATTTTGCAACTTATAACTGTTTCAGGTCAGCATGCTGTACACCTTCAGTTTATACAATGGTACATGGCAATTATATCTCAGTAATAAAGTTGGGGGGGGGGGGAGAAGGGCTTGGTTTGAAAAGGATTCATGCAACAGGGTCTGAGAGAAAAATGAGGCAATGCGCTTCCAACAGCGTTCCTGGCAAAGGGTTTACTGATCAATGGACTTGAAAAGGGGTTATTTAGCAGCTAGCTTTCATTTTCATCATAAAGATTGGTATATCCGGGGGGGATTAGGTCACTGAAATCACCCAGATGATCTCAGGGTCGGAAAGCAACCTCATTAAGTAGTAGCTGCGGGAGGGGACTTGGCCGGCATACCGTACATGAGCAAAATGGCATTCTGATTTATGCGGTGTTCTCAGGTGGCGCTGTCCTTAGAGTCATCAGACTGAAACTGTCTGGACACACAGAAATAAAAGGGTCCTCGAGGCCAAGGACCAGGCTGTGAAATATAGCTATTACACTGAGGTGGAGCTGGGTCAGCCATTAGCAGGCCTCCCAGGTGTCACCCACCCCGAGTCCCACATCCATCTTAACCCCTGGAACACGGGGCTGAGGGAAGAGCTCCGGCCTTACCAGAACACCGCCTGGGGCTCTGCGCCACCAGCCATCGGCCGGAACAGGGCCACTTAATCTCTCTGATCCTCCGAGATTTATGCAGCTTTCAAATGGGAGTAACAGGGCTATTCCGTCTATCACACCGGCTTGTTCTGAGGCTCGGGGTCTAAATCTAAAACAAACAGCTCTGCGAATAAAGGGTTTTCATGCGATCGTCATTACGTACCCTGCAGCCTGCGTACATAACTAATACACCGAGGCACGTTACCACGATGATCTGATAACTGAAGACACGATGAAAAACCACTAACCCACTACACAGAACACAGGAAATCCTACCTCTCAGCCACGGGCTTGGCAATGTTTTCAAAAATGGTCTCTTGGTTTGTATCTTGATCAAAAATCCTTTGAAATCTGCAAATGTGAAAACAGTCATTATTTTAAAGCTGGGCCGTCACACACTATTAGATTAATCTTTTTCCCTTTTTTCTGACGGCTCTGTAAATGAGCCCATGTTTACCGCACTGGGCTTACCTCCCCTAGCACAATGTTGGCCTGTAGTCCCAGCCACACTGCGCCGCTGTCTCCCTGTATACACATGGCGGGTAAACAGTATTGCTTTGACAGGGTCTGCACAATAAATCCCTCTGAAACGCTGCAGCGGCTTTGAACCAAATAACAAACTGTGTGCTTTTAGCTCTCAAGGGGGGCAGTGTCTGCAATTGGCATCAGATGCACATCGAGATAAGGGCATGAAATGGAAACCCAAGACCAGGATGTAAACAGCCAGAGAACCTCTGATGTCTGACCGGTCAGGACAGAAGGCAGCTGTGAAACGTAGGATGATTGAACTTGGTCTTAAAATGCTGAACTGAAGTTTACTTCCCACTCGTTAGGGACAACATCCTAGTATTGGCTACTTCATTTCCAGGGAACTGTACTTCACTTTGTGGATCATGAGTCAAAAGTCAAAAGGTGAAGGAAGATAGACTGGCCTGCAGAGAGAAGTCCATATCAGATTGGCAGGGCTGGGCATGGGGAAGTGTGACGGGGTCAAGTTCACGCTTCGTGCATTGCTGCTCACTTGGCTTAGTGCAGGGTCACACCCACCGAGGAATGCCCAGGGCAGGAAACACACAACCTATTCTTCTACAGTGTGGTGAGCTGCCACCAGCAAGTCTGTCCCCCATTAAAACATCAGAGAGAGAGAAAGTGAGAGAGGGAGGGGAAAGAAAGAAAGAGAGAGAGAGAAAGAGAGAGAGAGAGAGAGAGAGGGAGAGAAGAAAGGTAGTATATAAGGTAAAATGTTAACAATTGGTGGATCTCCCACATAGAGTATAGGAAGAGTTGGTTGCATTATTTTTCCACCTCTTCAGCATATTGAAAAGTTTTCAAAATAAAAACTGTGGGGGTCAGCAGGATGCTTTAAAGCAAAGCCTTTAAAACAAACACACTGAGGGCGTCCTATGCAGCTTTCAGAGTGGCGTGGGAACCTTTGGCCAATGTGTCTACCCTACACAAGTGAGTTGGGCACATCCTCCATTAATGTAGAAACTACGTGAAATGTAGGACTGTTTTCACTACTGAGGAGTTCAGAAGGCTATCTGGAGTGGGGCTGAGAATATAAAATAAAATGGAATTCATTGTCTTTAATCAAAATTAATTTCAAAACATCCCTATAGCTCAGGGGTGGGGTGGGGAATGTCCAGCCTGCGGGCCATAGAAGGCCCATGAAATCAGTGGTAAGTTGAGAATTTTACATGGTCCGCGAATAATATTATAAATATCTGTGACAAATACACTCACCAGTCCAAAATTAAATAAAAGAAAATGGACATGGAGACACAAACTACAGCAAAAACAAGGCGTTTAATGTCGGTCTTGGGAGATCCGGTGTCTGGTGGGCAGGCACGCCCAAAGTGGTTACAACCACTATTGTATTCCCTGCTGTGCAGGTCCCTCCCCTGGTTCCTCGTTGGCTGAGGACTGTGGGGTGTACAATCTTCCCGGAACCGTCACCTAAGTTTCATTATTTCCTTAGAGGGTATTCTTTCCTTCCCAGTTTAAGTCCCCTCCCCAACATCCTGTTTGCCTGGGGACTCTGCAGGTGCCTGAACTTGGTCACATCAGCAGGCCATTATGCAAGCAAACTACCAGGAATTTTCCATTCAGGGTTAAATGCCTTGCCTCGAAATGGACCACCACTGACTTTATTGCTAACAATATCCAAATGGCCCTTGGCAGAAAAAAGGTTCCCCACCCCTGCGTATAGCTTATCAACCTCCCATTTGAAGACACTAACAATGAAACCATATACAAAGAGAGATTGCAGGGCACTCTGGCTGCTACGTCATTCAGCAGGTAAGATTATGTTTTAGACAACGGCATTAACGTGGGTGCCCAGAACACGCCTCAAACCCTATCCATGCACCACGGCCCAGATACAAACACAGGGGGCACAGCTACTCTGTGCTATTCAGGGCCCCGCTGGCTGTGACAACTGAACACAGACCCAGTGGTGCTTGTGAGGATGAGGATGAGGCTGATTTGGTTCTTTACCAGGTTGACGATGACTGGCTACCTCAACAGCCATTCCCAGCCCCACTTCCTTAAGTAACAGGAATGACAACTACCACCAGGTAAACCAAAGAGTTGGCCGGGGTTTCCATAAACCATACAATAGCATTAAACATCAAATCATCATCCCAAAACATTTTATCTTTTATAATTATAGCTGCACAGTAATCTGAAAACGCATTGTGATCATCTACTTTTTGAAAACCTTTGCAGAGCAAAATAGTTTACCAACTTGAGTGTCATCTTTTACAGCGGAAGAGGCTGCTTTATCCTGGGGACAGAAAGCCACTGACTCATGGCCCTGGAGCAAGCCAATAATGCACCCTGAGACATGACTTGGGTTTCCTGATTCCTAGGAGGCCCTTTCATCATGAGGAGGTTGTGTAGGCTTTTGCCAAAGTCTATTTCAAATCTGGCACGTACTGACCTCTCCCCACCCAGAAACGGCTCGTCCTGGCCTTCCTAGCCCCGGAAATGACAGCTCCATCCTTCTAGAAGTTCCGTCCAAAACCCGGAGGGCATCCTTGGCGCCTCTCTTTCCATTGCACTCTATACCCAACCCATCAACAAAGTCTGTCATCTCTGACCTTTAAAATACTTGCAGAATCCAACTATTTCTCAACATTTCCACTTGCTGCTACCCCGGCCCAAACTACCAAAATGTCTTGCCTGGTCTCCTTTACTCCCTTACAGTTAGTTTATTTGCTACATGTGAGCAAGAATGATCCTGCTCAAACTTAAGTGGAATTGTTTCATTCTTCTGATCAAAATCCTCCATTACCTCCCACGGCACTTCGGGGAAGAGCTCCATATGATCTGGCCACTCTGCTGCCCCTTTAACCTTCTTCCTGCCACCACGCCCTTCCCCCACCCCCCACCCACAGCTTACTCTCCTCAAGCCACACTGATGCCTTCTCTTCAACAAGCCAGGCATCCCCCCCTCTCAGGGACTTTGCTCACTATATTCTTGGCCTGGACTTCCCATTCCTCAGATATCTGAATATCTGGCTTCCTTGCCTCCTTCAAGTTCTTGTTCAAATGTCGCCCTCTTGTCCACCTCCCCTGAGAGGCCTGTGAAATGCGGCCACCTTCCCTCCCCTTTGCTGCCCTTCGCCAGCACTCCTCTGTCCCCTCCGCTGCCTTGTTTGGCTCCATGGCCCTTAACACTTTCTGATACACAGTGTACTTACTGAGCTTCTTGCCCATCTCCTCCCACTAAAATGTGAGCACCATCAGAGCAGGGGCTGTGCTGCCCTCCCTGCTGTGTTCCTAGCCATGAAAACATCTCACAGTGAATGATCAATAAATGTTTATTGGTTAAGTGGATTTTCTTGGGAGAAAACAGCCTTAAAATGCTTACATAGGTATCTCTGATCATATGTATAAGTTAAATATTTTATTAATATCTTTATTTAAAATACCAAACCAATATTTCTAATTCAGAGATTTAGAAAGAATGATCAAGTGATTTTAAAATAAGCAATCGGCACTTTTTCTTTGTGATATTATTTTTTTACAATTTATTTTTAAAATTTAGCTTTATTATTGAAAGTATTACAATGTCTGCTTTGTTTTTTTGTTTGTTTTTTGTTTTCCCCATTGACCCCGCTCCTACCCACACCTGCCCCTCCCAAGCCTTTGCCACACTATTGTCTGTGTCCATGAGTTATGCACATATGCATATAAGTTCCCTGGTTAATTCTCACATCCCTCACCCCACCTTTAGTCTGTTCATCAGTCTGCTCATGGTTCTATGCCTCTGGGTCTATTTTGTTCATCAGTTTATTTTGTTCATTAGATTCCACATATGAGTGAGATCATGTGATACTTGTCTTTCTCTGGTTTATTTTGCTTAGCATAATATTCTCCAGGGCAAACAGCACTTTTTCAATAACCATATATTTAAATTCTCTCTGTATCTATATAACCTAAAGAATACTTTGGAAAGGACCAATTCATAGCGACATGGCCAATTTTTCTTAATCATCGGCAACATGCTGAAACAGAAGCATGCTGAATAAAATGTTTTAGCAAAGTGTGGCTTGTAGAGAATGGTGTAGGGCAGCTATCATGAATTCATAGCTACTAAGGTATGTAGCAAGTTTACACCAGTGGGAGAATGCCCCCTTCAGAAAAATGAAGTCACTTACTCTAAGGCTACTTCTTAAAGGACAGAATGAAAGGCGATGGGGAGCCAAAAAGGCAAGGTGAGGACCCCCCCCCCCCACTATGTGAGCAATTGCTAGCAATCCTGCTTGTACTTATTGTGAAAGGAACACAAGACGATGGGTGACGTAGGAGAGAGAGACATGCATGACCGACAAAGGGCAGAGTTGTGAAGACCAGAGAGCTTTATGAGACAAACAAATAAGAGCCAATAAATATGAGGGGGAGAGAGAGAACCATAAAGATAAAATATCCAGGATGGTTTTATCCAAGGGGCAAGGGTAGGAATAGCTACATAATAAGGACCATGTAAAACAGTTCAGAAAGAAAAGCAAGAGAGCAACTAGGATCCTTCAGCCGCACCCAGCAATCCGCCCCCTAAGCACAAGCCACAGACCAAATACGGGTTTAACCTGGGCTCAAACTTCTCCAAAAATCAAAAGTGGGCGTTAAAGGACATCACATAATCTGAAACTGGAGAATAAAGACGGTATAAACTAGCCATAATCCCAACATTCCAGGCCTGGCTACTGGAGAGTGTTTGCACTAAAGGCACGGGAGACAGTCCAAGGGTGGCTGCTTGGTACTTTTCACCTGAACCGCAGGTTCGGCACTGTCCAAGAGCAATGTAATGCAGTCCATTATGTGAGCATCAATGTTGTTTACAATGTCCTAGTGGCCATGTTTTTTTTAAAGTAAAAAGAAACAGGTGAAATTGGTTTTAATATATCTTAACGCAATCTATTAAACATGTTATCATTTTAATATGGGGTCAATATGAAAATATTCTTGAGATATTTTCCATTACATTTTTTCATACTAAGCTTTCAAAAACCTTTTATGTGCTTTTCACTTACTAGCCTCAGTCTGGACTAGCTACACTTCAAGTGCTTCAGAGCTACCTGCGGCGAGCGGCTGCTACACTGGACAGTACAGATACAGGCTGTTCATGCATGCGCTGAGGTCTGCATATCACCTATGTTATAAAGAAGGCTCACCTATACGGGATACAGATCGTACCTTAAGTGCTTATCTTTAATAACGTTTAGTCATGCAATGAACTTCCTGTACGTGCTAACCCCTAGAGAGCCAAGTGGGAAAAGGATTAACACTGATGTGGCAAAGCAAGGCTGGGACCTTGGGATACCATGGTGGATGCAGAAATATACTCTCCTTTCAGCTCTGGGCACAACAGTGAGAAGACAACTTAAATTCTATCCGCCAGATGACAGAGAACTGCCCTGCCTTCTCTCCAGCGCATGGTGCTAAGGATTTCACCGTGGATATGAGTGCAGTATGTGTTCGTTCAATAGCAAAACAAATATAAACAAGGAGAAAGATACACTTACTTAAATCTGTAGCTTTCTCGCTTATTATTCACAAATCCATCTGCCAAATCACGAGGTAAGATAATTTCCAAGCTGGGTGTAACTTTTTCATCTTCATCTATGGAATAAATCTGCAAACAAGAAGACAGCAAATGAATATAAAGTGCTGGATTTCAGGCTTGAACTATGACCATATTATTACGCTGGGCACTGAAATCTTATAAAAAATATACTTTTAAGATAAAAAGTCGCCGAAACCGGTTTGGCTCAGTGGATAGAGCGTCGGCCTGCGGACTGAAGGGTCCCGGGTTCGATTCCGGTTAAGGGCATGTACCTGGGTTGCGGGCACATCCCCAGTAGGAGATGTGCAGGAAGCAGCTGATCGATGTTTCTCTCTCATCGATGTTTCTAACTCTCTATCCCTCTCCCTTCCTCTCGGTAAAAAATCAATAAAATATATTTAAAAAAAAAAAAAGATAAAAAGTCAAAACATAGTACAACCTGGGTAATTTTCCTCTTTGAACTGTGCGCAGCCTCACACAAATATATGAAATCGAACAAGAGGAAAAACCTGAATCAATGCTCTGTCAAAGCTCAGAGCCTCTTTGACAGTCTAATATTCAAATTTGAACATTTCTGAGTGCCTCTGTTGTTGAGGAACCAATAACCCTGAAAACAGCATTTTACATAAATATTGCTTCGGAATTATGGACCAGAAATTAACACTTCGTTACAAGCAACAGCTTTTCTGAGCATTTACAAAGTGCTAGGCAAGAAGAAAAAAGGACTAGGTCTGAGACGTCTCAGAGAGCTCAAAAGAATGCTCTCATTCAAGTTATGTTCAAAGAAGCCCAGGTTTTCGTGACACATTCAGGCTTTTCATAAAAGATACGTGGTTTCAAAAGACATGTGTATCTCATGTCTTTGATGTCATTTTCAAGGCTGTACTTCCAGCTCAGCCACTAATTAGCAAATGACCTGGGAAAGTCACTTCACCACTAAGCTGATATGGAATGAAGGGTCTTAATCAACCCCCTTTCAACTTAATATTCTCTGTCTTCTTGGTTACCTACTCCTTTATTTATTGGCCAGAAAATATCAAAAGTCAAGCTTATAAAAAGCTCATGTGGAATAAAGAAACGCCTATGATTTTGCGTCCAAAGACCTGGCCCAACGCTAATCTCAATTTACCAGATGTGTGACCAGCCACCACTTCAGAATCTTGGTTCCTTATACCTAAAATGAGGAAAACAGAATTGCCTCCCTTTACAAGATTGCTGCAGGGATCAAATGACGTCATGGAAAGGAAGCATTTTGTAATGCACCATAAAAAATGTTAGTCATTAGATTTAGAGGTTTTTAAGAAAGACTTCTTGTCTTTCACCAGGAAATAAAATTATTTCTAACAAGCAATACTTCCTGTTTAAGACCCAATTAGATGCTTGATTATGGGGGAAAGTCATATTCCTAAACAAATAAAAGCCTACCTAAATCTCCAGAAAATCTGAATAATGTTCCTAAGCAGACTTCTAGTGAAGAATCTCCATAAAATGACATTATTTGTAGAAAGTAATGGCATCAGGTGCATGGCTTTATGGCTAGGTTTTCTCAAGAGACATTTAAAAAGTATATCCTGTAGGTCACTACATTAAAAAAAAAAAAAAAGATTAATGTCCAGACAGGTGAGTAAAAGGGATTGTAAGACGTGAAACATACACGAGTGAGGGCTGCCACGCATTAAAACAAAGAGCCCTGGCCGATTTTGCTCAGTGGGTAGAGCATCGGCCTGCGAATTGAGGGGTCCCAGGTTTGATTCCGGTCAAGGCACATGCCTGGGTTGTGAGCTCAATCCCCAGTGGGGGACTTGCAGGAGGCAGCCAATCCACGATTCTCTCTCATCATGGATGTTTCTATCTCTCTCCCTCTCTTCCTTCCTCTCTGAAATCAATAAAAACATTTTTTAAAAACCACAAAAAACAAACAAAACAACAACAACAAAAACCCTGTAGCACTCAGTGTTCAGAAGACAAGGAGGAACAGCTACTGGCGTAGGAATAGTGACTCTCCACCATCATTAAGCCATTCTTTGGGGCATTAAGAAAAGCCCCTTATAACCAGAAAATGTGTTTAGTCCAATAGATAGACTTTCTATCCTTAGTCACAAAAGTATTTGAGATAGAGTAGTTTTTTAAGAATAGAAGACAATTAGATCTAATGAAAAGATGAATATGAAAATATTTCAAAATACACAAAGCAGAATACAAATGAAAAAGCACTGCCATTATCAGAGGTTCATCTTAGGTATTTTCTGATTTATTAGCCTATAAATTACTGTAGTGCCTTAAGAAATAAGATTAATGGAGCAGTGGAACCATAAAATGAAGAGAAAAAACCGACTTTGAATCACTCTTGGTTTAAAGCTACAAGCAGCATTTCCAGTTTGAGAAACAACCATACAATCTTTTGGGGGCAAAAAAGATAGGAGACTAAAAGTGGGATTTCTAAGGGAGAGCAGGGATACACTAACTCAAAATTTGTTCATCTGTGCTCTCTCAGTTTTGTGTATGTGGCATAATGTTGCATCTCGGTCAGAAACCTGACATTATGAAAATACAGTATGACACCTCAAAACACTTGTAGAGTACCAATCTACTACACAGAATCCCACAAAAGAAATGCAAAAGAAGGCACATTAAAATACCCAAACATTGCATTTTAGGAAAAGAGAAAGTTCAATATTAAATCCAAGATTCTCCATCAACCCATCCACAGTTCTGCCGCTATCCTCTCACATCACCATATCTAAGCACCTGCTTCTGACTGCAAAGTCCATGTGGACGAGTTCAACATTTTTACTAAGAATCTAGGGGGAGAAGGGGAGGCAGGCATTACATACACCTTTTACATATGATGCACTTTTTAAAACCTTCTTGTACTCTTGTACGTGAATGTAAGAGGAAAGAAATTGGGAAGAAAGCCATATCAACTTTCTACACTGCTTTATTCCTTGTTTTAAAAAAGCCAATCTTTCCTTTGGAGTCTTCTGCATCTTTTCAATGCATTTCATGAGTAAAAAAAAATGATGACAAAGACACTATATTCTCCTTGTTTGAGAATACATAGATACACAAATTACACATGGTCAACACTAAGCTATGAGATGCTATGATGTTACATTTATACATGTGCCCAGTGTAGAAACATAGATATGGGCTAGAGATAAAATATTAGTAATACACCCATTCCAGGCACTGATTAATAAGACTCAGATGGCCCTTGCCTAAATCCCCACTTTGTGAGACAAAAAGGTTTTGTCTGAAGAGCCAAGAGCTTTGGAATAATAATAATTTAAAAAATCCTACGTTAAAATCAGCGCTCTGCCACTTGAGAGGTGGGTGGCTTGGGCACATTATTCAACCTGAGACTGTTTCCTCATCTACAAAATGAGGAAAATGGCATTAACTTTGCAGGGTTTTCATGAAAACTAGAGATAATGCAGACAAAGCACATTAGTAAGAATGACTGTGCCCCTTTCCAAGGAGAGAAAACAAAGTTTTGAAACATTTAAGAAGCATTCAAAGTTCCTCTACTCAGAGCAAGGGCAATGTTTTAACTTTCTCTGTAACTTTCTGAGCTCACAACCTACGCAGTGATGGCGAACCTATAACACGTGTGTCAGAGGTGACACGTGAACTCATTTTTTTGGTTGATTTTTCTTTGTTAAAGGGCATTTAAATATCTAAAATAAATATCAAAATATAAGTCTTTGTTTTACTATGGTTTGCAAATATCAAAAAATTTCTATATGTGACATGGCACCAGAGTTAAGTTAGGGTTTTTCAAAATGCTGGCACGCCGAGCTCAAAAGGTTCGCCATCACTGAGTGAGTGCTCAGCTAATGTTTTCTGAAGGAAGAGTAGATGAGTATTCCTTGTGTCAGGATGCATAAATATCTATTTACATATGCAGTGAGCTCATGTTTCTGCTGCGGAGTGGAAATATAGTCCACAAATTCTAAGGGCCTACTGCGTGCAGAGCCTCTGTGTATCTGTATTTGAATCTATTATCTGCAACCTCTCAGACATGTATGGACACGCATCTCCTGCACGCCCTGCCTGAGTGTGGGACACAAGTCTGAGTGCATGTGTGTGTGCAGAGATGCGTGGCCATTTCCCAGGAAGGGGCAATACGTGTGCCTAGTTGAGGTGCAGCCTACGTGAGTGTACAAACACACATCAGGGCATGCGTTTGCCCCCGGGGGAACAGGTGTGCCCGGGTGTGTGTATGTGCTCTGTGGAGCGTGTGTCTGCGCTCACAGGGCTGTGCTGGATGGGAGAGCCCGGGTGTCTGTCTGTCCGAGTCCTGACAGCGGGGCTCCCCCGACAGAGTGTGCAGGGTTCCATGAGGCACCCTGCGCCCTAAGCCCAGCTCCTCCCCGGGCCCAGGCCCCACGCGGGCCGCCCCTCCCCCGGCCAGTGAGGCCCCGCGGCTCCCGCACCCTCGCTGCTCCGACCCGTACCCCTTGCGGCTGCTTCCGGACAGTGGGCTTCACCCTGGCGAAAATCTGGATCGTCTGCTTCACCATCTCCTCCTCTGGCACTGTACTGACCCTTGACCTCTCAGGCCCGGGCGCCCCAAACTTCGGGTTCCCACCACCTCCAGCGAGCCGCAGCCTTAGCAACAGTAACTAGGGACACTACCCAAGGAGCAATGCGCCAACCAGGACCGCCTCCCCTCGCTAATTGGTTGCTAATGGAGTGCCCCGCCCCCCCCCCGTCCCCAGGGAAGCACTGCGGGGCGGGGTTGAGGGGTGCTGAGCGGAGAGTACTCCGCACGTGCTAGGGGCGGACGCCTGGGCTGCAGGCTTGGCTCCAGAGCTGATCTGGAGAGTGGTTAATGAGTGACAGCCACCATGCCTTTCCCTGTCCGTTAAGCCATTCTTCCCCTTTTTAGCACTGAAGTCATTATGTTTTTTATTATTCATTCATGGAACACATGGCACTTGATCTGTGGCAGCAAAGTGCTGGCTGGGCGGGGATCCTGAGCTGCGCAGAGCTGCCTCTGCCCTCCTGGAGAGTAGGTGGGATGCAGGATACAGATTTTCATTAGGGAATTAGGAATTAGGTCGGGGTAAGCAAGGGGTTCTGAGAAGGTACCTCACCTAGCTCTGCTGCGGAAGAGGCCAACACTGGAGAGAGGGGGCCTGTGTCCCATGTAATGGTCAGGTCAAGAAAGAATGGGCTCCTGGGCGCAGCGTTGGTGGGAATGTAAGTAAATGCAGCCACTGTGGAAAGAGCAGGGAAGTTCCTAAAAAGAATTAAAAGTAGCATTGCAATCCCGCTCACTCTTCGGTCTATGTCCAAAGATGAAATCAGACACCTAAGAGATATCTGCATTCCCATATTTATTGCAGCATTCGCCAAGATGTAGACCAACGTAGTGTCCACTGATGGATGCGTGGATAAAGAAAATGCGATATACATATTGAAATATTTTTATATTATGCCTTATATCTACAATAGAGTGATATGTGTGTGTATGTGTGTGTGTATATATATATCTATATATATATACATATATATATAGATATAGATATAGATATAGATATTAGAGTTAACCATGTAGAGCTAGAACAGATGGCATTGAGTGTATCTACTGATAACATGGTCCCAGTACTGCCTGTGAAATATAAGTGGAACTGATTTTCATATCCTTGGCAAGACAGAAATCGCCTTTTCTGTTTGTATAACAACCATCATGCTCACACTAAAATGACACCCAATGGGCATTAGAAAATGTTCGATGTACTTAAATGCGAGATGGAACATTATTCTGCCACACAAAAGAAGATCCTGCCATTTGGCAATAACATGAATGAAGCTGGAGGCTTTATGCTAAGTGAAATAAGGGATACAAATAAAGACCAAGGCTGTATGATCTCACTGACACGTGGAATCTGAAAAAATGGAACTCGTAGAAACAGAAAGTAGATTGGTGGTTGTCAGGGAATGAGTGGGGGAAATGGGGAGATACTGCTCAAGTGGTACAAACTTTCAGTTACAAGAGGAATGGGTTCTGGGGATCTAATTTACAGCATGGCGATGATAGTTAACAATATTGTATTACATACCTGCAAGTTGCCAAACGACTGAATCTTAAATGTTCTCGTCACACAGAGAAAAAGTTAATTATGTGAGGGGATGGAGGTGTTAACTAAGCTGATTGTGATCATCACTTCACAATACACACATGTGTCAAATTATCACATTGTACATCTTAAACTTAGATGTCAATTATATCTCAATAAAGCTGGAATAAATACATAAAAGGATGAGCACCGCAACAGACACTGCTAACACATGAAAAGATATTCCGCATCATTACTCACCAGGGAAATACACATTAAAACCACAGTGAGATAGCACCATACACTATCAGGATTTAAAAAAAAAAAAAAAAAAGCAACAAAACCAGATGCTGACATGGATACAGAGAAACTGAGTCATTCACACTTTACCGATTGGAATGTGTAGTGTAAAATGTGTCATGACTGCTTCGGGCACTCTAAAAAACAGTTTTGCAGGGTTTTTTTAATATATATTTTATTGGTTTCTTACAGAGAGGAAGGGAGAGGGATAGTCAGAAACATCGATCAGCTGCCTCCTGCAAGCCCCCCACTGGGGATGTGCCCGCAACCAAGGTACATGCTCCTGACCGGAATCGAACCCGGACCCTTCGGTCCACAGGCCGACGCTCCATCCACTGAGCCAAACCAGTCAAGGCTAGTTTTGCAGTTTTTTACAAAACTAAAGATGCAACTACAATAAGATCCAGCAATTATGTTCATGGGTGTTTATATCACAGAAATGAAAACTTTTGTTCACACAAAAACCTATGCATGCATGTTCATAGCAGTTTCATTCATAATAGCTTCAAACTAGACAGAATCCAGATGTCTTTCAACCAAAGAATAGTTAAATAGGTGATGGAATACTATTCAGCAATAAAAATGAAGGGACTACTGATACATATAGTAGTAAAGGGGAATTTCCAGAGACTTATGCTGAGTGAAAGCAGCCAGACTCAAGTTCAATGCTGTATGATTCCATTTTTATAACATCCTTGAAATGACAAAATTATAGAGATGGAGAGCACATTAGTGGTTGCCAAGGGTTAGGCAGGCAGGGAGGGGGTGAAGTGGCTATGGCTATAAAAGGATCCTTGTGATGGACTATTGTGTATCTTGACTGTGGTAGTGGTCATAGAAATCTACCCATGTGATAGAATTGCATAGAATAAAGGGCGCACGCGCACACATACACACACACACACACACACATAAGTGCATATAAAACTGGTGAAACGTGAATAAGGTTGAGTAAGATGGATGAATGGTATCCTTGTCCACTCCCTGGTTGTGACCTTATACTGAAGTTATGCAAGATGTTGCCATTAGGGGACCTGGGGAAAGTGGATGTAAGATCTCTCTGTATTCTAAACACTGCATGTGAATCTGTAATTATCTCAAAAGAAAATGTTTTCAAAACTCTCAGAGAATGAAAAGACCAGCCACAAACTGGGAGAACACTTTGGCAAAACACCTATCTGAGAAAGCTCACATCCAGAATACCTAAAAACTCTTAAAACTCAATAATAAATAGGAGAGCAAACTACCCAAGTAATTAAAAAAAAAAAAAAGGTGGGCAAGGATTTGAACAATTACCATAATATGGATGGCAAATAAGCACATGAAAAGATATTTTAACGTAATGAGCCCTTAATGAAATGAAAATTAAAACCACAGTAATACACTACAACACCCCTCTTAGAATAGCTACAAATGAGGAAAGAAAACTGGTAATACCAACAGCGAGTATGTATGCAAGCATCTAGAACCCTCAGACAAGGCTGGAGAGACGGCAAGATGGACCAGTCACTTTGAAAAAGTTTCATAGTTTCTTACATGGAGAATCACACATAAACTTACTATTAGACCCAGCATCCTCACTCTTAGGTATTTACCCAAGTTAAAAGAAATGTAAACAATGACTATTGTGGTTTTATTCACAACTAGGAGCTCAGCGTGCGAAATCACGAGGCCCTGCCCACCCACCCGCCACCTGCCTTGACACCTGAACCTCTCCACGCAGAGCTCCAGCACGCCCAGCCCAGCCCCCAACCCCTCTGGCCTTCTCTGGCTGCTTGGAGTCACCTTGGGCTGGTCCCGCCTCCAGAGCAATGTGGCGACTCCGCCCCATCATAGCACAGGAGGAGAGCATGGACGCCTGCTGCCTGCTGCACTGTGCTCCTTCCCCTGGCAGGTGGGCAACAGGGTGCTCTGAGTGCGAGCAGTGGGTGGCAAAGGACTGGTGAGGGGGGTGCTATGGGCTCTCACCCCCCCTCCCCAGCACAGGATGGTCCTGCCTCCTCTGGGTGCCTCCCTGCTCAGCCCTGTCTCTGGAGCAATGCTCTGCTGCCCACGCTCAGTCAGCCTCCTGTGATCGGTCCTTACACATGACGGAGTCCCAACCACTAGCATATTAGCTCTTTATTATTATGATTGCCCCAAACTGAAAACAAAGTAAATGTTCTTCAGTGGGTGAATGGATAAACAAACTGGTATGTCCACACGGTTAAAAGGGATGGGCTGTTAATGCCTGTAACAACATAGTTGAATGTCAAATTTTTCATGCTAAGTGAAAGATGCTGGACTCAAAGTTACACACAGTATAATTCCATTTGTATGACATTCGAGAAAAGACAAAACTATAGGGAAAGAAAACAAGTCAGCGGTTGCCAGGGGTTGAGGGTATGGAAAGATGTTGACTGCAAATGGGCATGGAAGAGGGGTTATTTTTTTTGGGGGGGGGTGATGATGGAAGTGTTTCATATTTTGATTGTAATTGTGGTTACATGACTAGAAACATTCGTTAAAACTCATAGAACTATTTATATACTTAAAGGGGTGAATTATACTATATATACATTGTACTATTATCAAAGGGTAAAAAAAGAGATGAGGTATGAACAGGTATGGCATAGCAGGGACCGAGAGAAGGAGAGCCAGGTCTTTGTGGAATAGACTTTGAGGGCTTTTTCACTTGCTGCTGGTGGTGAGGAAGAAAAGACTCAGGGTTGTATAACCGGGTCATGGCCACACCTTGGCTGCTGTGACTACTGCTGCATTGAACATGGGAGTGCAGGCATGTCTTCACCATACTGATCTCGGCTCCTTCAGAAGTGAGACCACCTGAGTGTTTGTGTACACAGAATGGAATAGAATTCCCATTAAAAGGGGGTAAGTCTGCAATTGAAGATGACATTGATGAAACTGGAGGGCATTATGCTAAGTGAAAATAAGCCAGAAAATTCACAGAAGATTGATTAATATATAATGATTTCAGAGAGAAAGGGAGAGGGAGAGAGAGAGATGGAAACATCAATAATGAGAAAAAAATAATTGACTGGCTGTCTCCTGCACACCCCGCACTGGAGAATGGTCCACACTGGAGATCAAGCCTGCAACCCGGGCATATGCCTGACGGGGAATGGAACTGTGACCTCCCGTTTCATAAGTCGATGTCCAACCACTGAGCCTCGCCGGCCAAAGATCACTTGAAGTGTTGAATCATGAGGCCCAGGCT